ATTGCAATTTGTTCACGGGTTCGACCGCAGAGAAACTCGGTGCGCAATACAACTTGAAGAGAGAGGAAGTCGATCAATTTGCCTTGAGGAGCCAACAACGGTGGAAAGCTGGTAAATAATACTCTAATCATTAACGTTTAATTTAAGAATTTATTTACTAATTCTTAATAAAATAAATAAAATATTTCATATATTAAATTAGATTTTCTTTCTAATTAAATAAATAATTTGTGTACAATTTCTGTGTAGCTTAAGAATCTATTTTAAAATTTTATATATTACAGCCAACGATGCAGGCCGTTTTAACGAAGAAATTGCACCTGTGCAAATAAAAAGTAAAAACCAAGATATTACTATCTGCACGGATGAACATCCACGTCCGCAAACAACAATAGAGACCCTTGCCAAATTAAAACCAGTTTACCAGAAAGATGGATTAGTCACAGTTGGATCTGCATCGGTATACCACATCTTCTTTTACTTATATAAAAAAACTTTATCTTAATTCTCTCAAATTTAATTAATGTAGTTCTTCTTATTCATAAGGGTATTTGTGATGGAGCAGGCGCTGTTATTTTAGCCAGCGAAGAAGCCGTCAAGAAGGAAGGTTTGAAACCATTGGCGCGTTTGGTGGGATATAGTGTTGTTGGCGTAGAACCGAGCATTATGGGAATTGGTCCTGTGCCGGCAATCAAGAACTTGCTCAAACTAACGAGCAAGACGCTAGAAGAAATAGAATTAGTTGAGGTACGATTTTTAATCTCCATTCACACTGTAAAAATTTGGCTTCATTAAATATCTTTAACAATATGAAAACAATTAGAGATAAATAATTAGCAATGTAATATTACAATTTATATTTATCCTTGCTATGCATTACCTGTCATTCCTGATAGATCATTGAGGCCTTTGGTGCTCAAACTTTGGCATGTGCGAAGGACTTGAATCTAGATTTGAATAAATTGAATGTGGACGGTGGCACCATTGCCTTCGGACATCCATTGGCTGCTTCTGGTAGCAGAATCACTGCTCACTTAGTGCATGAACTCAGGTATGTCCTTTCATCAATACCGTTAACTACGTACATTTTTATTAATATATTTGTCTTGTTTCTTACAGGAGACGAAAGGCTGGAAAGTTCGGGATTGGTTCGGCTTGTATTGGCGCCGGCCAAGGCATTGCTGTGATGGTGGAAGTATTGTAATCATCTGAAAAGATAAATCGTTAAATATCTTGTTTGAGTAAACAAAACGCCGCGAAATAAAAGTGATATGTCGTTAGGATTTATTGATTTTAAATGAGTTATTGTTAATAAATTTTTTTATTCGTTTATTATGAAATTATGAAAATTATGAAAGATATTTCTATACAAAATTGTACAAAAGTTTTACACATTTTTATACGTGTAACAAAGTAATGCTATGCAGAATTTTGATAAATATTTTTAATTTGGTGTAAATTTAAGGAAACCTATGCAGCTGCGAAAAGCCAATCTTTTGTTAGCAGCTGAATCTTAAGTATCGTAAAAGTCGAATAAGACGTCAATAGTATTTAAAGTATACAAAAACTATTGCTTCATTATAAACATTTCAGAATATTATTATTTCAAAATGTTTAAAAGAGCCTTGAAAAGCTATTCATAAATATCAGGTCAATAAAAATATCAGCTGGAAAATTATATCACATATTTGTTCTCAATGTTTAACTATTGTAACATAAAATTAAATAATAATTACTTACATATAATAAGTTCTTTCAGATTCTCTCTGTTACCGTTTGGTCTCTTTCGAAATTCAACTTTTTCAATTGAAAAACTGCCGGATTGTGAGAAAATTGTTGTCTATCCATCCAATAATGTACTTTACAAATATTCATTGCTATGTCATTATTAGCCAATAATTCACATATTATAATATTAAAGAAAACGTTACATTAAAAAAATATTACTTTGTGATATTTCCGTTGATTGTCCGTTCGCCGCTGTTAATGTTAAAGGTGACAGCATATCGATATAAACATCTAATTTAATTCTGCTATATTGATGCGTAACTCGAATTCCCATGTAACTGCTGATTTTTGGATTCTCCTCAGTAACATTTCTAACAATGAGTCGTCGCAATGTCTGTCGTAACAGGTACGTAAGAATCGTATAAATTTGATGTGTCTATTTTTTCGATCAAGGATTCTATGACTGACGTTATTCATCGCACAAATGTTTTAGCAATTTCTACAAATTCAAGAAGTACATATATTTTAGAAATCCGTCCGTTTTTCTAGTCGCACTTGTTATTACTTTGCCAGTAAACTTTCACGGCACAAAGAAAAGAAACAAGTAAATCTAAATAAATGTAGTTTAAAAGTAATGCATGTGGCGTGTGCAATAAGTTACATATGTGTGTATGCATTAGATACACACAAATTCCAGACATTTAAGAACTTATTAATTTGTCCTTTAATCTGCCTTCTTAGAGCTTTTGACGTTTGAATGAAAAAATCATACAGGTAGCTTTCATATAAAGAGCAATAACAGAAATGATGCATGAATACAATTGAAAATAAACATAGACTTGATCAATTTTGCTCAAATCTCTTGAAACAAGACATCAGGAATCATCTACCAGCAGTGCATATCACTTAAAAACGCGTTGTTTCTGTATATTTTAAATACACTAGCATGGAAATGTTATTCAATGTTAAAATTCTACAAAAATGTGTTGTACAAAAGTCACAATAATGTTAAAAGGCAAAAATTTTGCAGTTTTTCAAACAAATTTTTTTCTTTGTACCTCATTGCAAGTAACCAAATGTATTTAAAATGCGCGCATAATTATGATAATCCATTCTTAAAAAAGGTATGTTATCTGTAAGTATCGAAGTTTATTGTTGCCGTTTTTCTATGATGCCGAATCATTCTTTCGTGCTGAGTTCATTTCGTGAGCGGCTGTCATTGCAAAGTTTTTGACAATTGTATGTATTTTATATTTTATTTTAATTAAAAAAATAAATGGCGGTGCCTGTATATAGCGCGTGCTTGTAGTATAATATGATATGAACGACAATAGATTAACATACATATCGCGTTTTATGGCCAAAATTTTTCTAAGAATTATCCACTAAAATATGAACTCTATAGATAAAATTGCTTTTAAATTAAATAGTAATTTCAATTTAATAAAATAAGCAGTACAGAGCCAGAACTTGATGCTTGAAACGACTGTTTACATATTTTGTTTGGACCCTTACATTACAAACGTTTCGGCCTTGAGATTTGGCCATCATCAGTGTGACACATTGAGATTAAAAGAAACAATCCAAATCCGCAAGCACAAATTATACAAATAAATCCTAATACTTAAACGATGGAATAGCAGGAGGATCTCAAGCCAAAGAAGATATAGTAGTTCTTAAAATCTTTTATTGTACCAATACTTAAAGTCAACGTAAATCGTACTGGTTTAAAATCAAATATCAAAATTTTTATACAATATAAAAAATTTAGCGCAGTTCTTCTTATAAATTGCTGAAATATCCACTATATACTGCAAATAATTGAAATAAGTCGAGGTTTGCTGCTTAGTAAATCAGTCAGATAATATAAAACTGTGAATGTTAATAAATTTTAACTGAATAATCAATTAAATAGTTATTTATAGTTATTTGTGCGTGCGGATTTAGATTATTTCTTTTAATCTCTACGTGTCACACTGATGATAGCCAAATCCCAAAGCCGAAACGTTTGTAAAAGTCTAAAACAACATACGTAGAGTTGTTGCGAGCATCAAGTCCCAGCTCTGGCTCTGTACTGGTTATTTTATTAAACTGAAATATCTTGTCTCTTTTCTAAAAGTTATTGGATTTTAATTGAATTTCTTGTTCACACAGGTGTCTTCATCGTCGCTGAAAAACGCACCCCATTTGGTAAAATGGGTAGTGCGTTTGTGAATAAAAGCGCAATTGATTTGTCGGTTGTTGCCTCAACAGCAGCAATTCAGGCAGCAGGATTAAAACCGGAGAAGATTGACAGTGTTGTATTTGGAAATGTACTGACGGTATTTGTGTATTATATATATAAGTACATGTAATTAACAATTTTATATTAAATACCTTCACAACTTTCATTCAGCATATGTGTTAGCATATTCAACTTTTGCTTCATAGTGGTCATCCGCTGATGGAATTTATCTACCAAGACATGTTTTACTAAAGTCAGGAATTCCATTGGAAAAGACGGCATTTGGCGTAAACAGATTATGCGGTTCTGGTTTTCAGGCAATCGTCAGTGGAGCTCAGGTTGGTCAAAGATTCTTTGGTCTCCTAAAAATATATCATTTAATTAAAACATAGAATATTATAGCAATATAATATTGTAGAATAATAATATTATGGAATTTTATGGAAAGATTAATGTGTGTAATTCTAAAAAATGTAAAATAGAATGTATGACTATAAATAGTAACAAACATCTGCGCAAAAATTGAAACTTGTAGCAACAAATAATATTTTTATTGCAGAACATTTTAACGGGAGAATCTAAGATCGTTTTGACGGGCGGTGCAGAAAACATGAGTCAAGCACCTTTTGTTGTGAGAAACATTCGTCACGGAACTATCTTGGGTCAGATATACGATCTTGAGAACTCACTCTGGCTTGCATTTCTAGACACTTATTGCTATTTTTCCACGGGGTCGACTGCAAAGAAACTCGGTGCGCAATACAACTTGACCAGAGAAGAAGTCGATCAATTTGCCTTGAGCAGCCAACAACGGTGGAAAGCTGGTAAATAATAATTTAATCATTAACGTCTAATTTAATAATTTATTTACTCTAGTTCTTAATGAAATAAATATAAAATATTTCATATATTAAATTAGATTTTCTTTCTAATTAAATAAATAATTTGTGTACAATTTCTGTGTAGCTTAAGAATCTATTTTAAAACCTTATATACTACAGCCAACGATGCAGGTCGTTTTAACGAAGAAATCGCACCTGTGCAAGTAAACATTAAAAACCAAGATATTACTATCTGCACGGATGAACATCCACGTCCGCAAACAACAATAGAAACTCTCGCCGAACTAAACTCAGTTTACCAGAAAGATGGATTAGTCACAGCTGGGTCTGCATCGGTATATATGTATTCTTTTACTGTATAGAGAAACTTTATCTCTCTTAATTCTCTCATATTTAATTAACAAAGTTCGATTTTCATTTTTCAGGGTATTTGTGATGGAGCAAGCGTTGTTATTTTGGCTAGCAAGAAGCTGTCAAGGCGGAAGGTTTGAAACCATTAGCGCGTTTGGTGGGATATAGTATTGTTCACGTAGAACCGAGCATTATGGGAATTGGTCCTGTGCCGGCAATCAAGAACTTACTCAAACTTACGGGCAAGACTCTCGAAGAAATGGAATTAGTTGATGTACGATTTTTAATCTCCATTCACACTGTAAAAATTTGCCTTCATTAAATATCTTTAACAATATGAAAACAATTAGAGATAAATAATTAGCAATGCAATATTACAATTTATATTTATCGTTGCTATGCATTAACTGTCATTCCTGATAGATTATTGAGGTCTTTGGTGCTCAAATTTTGGCATGTGCGAAAGAGATGAATCTTGATTTGAATAAATTGAATGTGGATGGTGGTGAAATTGTCATGGGACATCCATTGGCTGCCTCTGGTAACAGGATCATTGCTCATTTGGTGCACGAACTCAGGTACGTTTTTTTCATCGATACCTTGAGCCACATTTTTATTAATACATTTGTCTTGTTTCTTGCAGGAGACGAATGGCTGGTAAGTTCGGTATCGGTTCGGCTTGTATTGGCGGCGGCCAAGGCATTGCTGTGATGGTGGAAGTACTGTAATCATGGAAGTACTGTAATCTGAAAAGATGAATCAATAAATTTCTACGAGCGAAAAAATGCTGCGCATTAAAAGTGATGCATCCTTATTATTTATTGATACTAAATAAGTTATTGTTAATAAATTTTTTTGTCCATTTGTGAGACAAAATTATGAAAAATATTTCTATACAAAAATTTTACATATTTTTATACATGTAATAAAGTAATGCTATGCAGAATATTGATAAATATTTTTTATTCGTTGTAGATTCAAGGAAACGTATGTAGTTACGAAAACTTAATCCCTTGTTAAGCAGCTGAACCTTGAAGTACCGTAAAAATCGAGTAAGACGTCCGTAGTATCTAAAATATATAGAAACTATTGCTTCGTTACAAATGTTTAAAAAAATATGAGTACTTCAAAATGTTTAAAAGAGCTTCAAAAAGCTATCGAATATCATTCCAATCAAAGTATCTATTTTTTTCACATCAAGAATCATTTTTTGAGTTACACAATCAAAAATTAAATTTGCGCTCTCATTTATATATTTTAAATGTGCAAAACATAAAATCTTGTTTCTTTGTGAACTTGAACAAATTTCACTTTAGTATATTTGACGAACCTGTACGAAAGTGTCCAAAGACAGTAACATGATGTTGCCAGCGCTTAAAATAAATGGACGATGGGCTCTGATCATCACAATCTGTAAACTGCGTTTGAATCTCTCCGTGCCGGAGAACCAGCCACTCGAGTACGCAGCTGTGACTATACGTATGCTCTAAAAACCACGGGTATTTGCATTCGCATCTATACACGCAGAAATCGATTTAAACACTCACATGGAGATGCAGCTCATTACCATGCCAGCAGAAAATGAATATCTGATATGTCATACAGCATAAGTACGTTAACATGCCGATCAGTACCGCCGGGATATAAACCTTCATCTGTGGCATAACCGGAAATCACATGGGATTCGTGAACGAGTCGATTGAGACGATCGGATTTACCTGCGACACATTGAAGGCGATCAAGCAGATGATTACGCAATTCGAGAGAAACTGGAAGAAGATCACCGTGCCGAAGATATCCTGGATTTCTTTCGTAAAACTGCAAATCAATGCAATTAATTTTGATTACAGCAAAACTAAAATGTAAACGGATATTATATAACACGAATTTTTTCATGTATGCATATAACTTACTGAAATATTATGTTGCTGTGGACCGTGCACTTTTTAAGTCGCTGATAGCACAGAGCTTTCTCGTCAGTTATAAACAACGTGTTTTTATTTTGCATTTTAGAGACACTTTCCTCATTATTTATGGACATAATATTCCGCTCTAGAATCGCTAGCTGGCAACAGGCAACCGTGATCAAGCCTGTCATTAACGTGTCCATTGCCACGTTATGGAAGCAGGCAATTATGACAGCTACACCTTGATGCCCTGCGGTGATTTCGAAGGCCGGCGTCGTCGTCGTGTTGTAAGGATACCATCCTTCCATTGGTAGCCGGCGTGAACGACCGGCTATTAGATCGGCGAGGGGAGTAAAGCCCCAGCAAAACACCGCAATCGCGCCGAAACTTTGATAAACCGCATGATGAAAGATGCTCTTCTTTGTGTAGCTCTTGAGGAGGTCCTGGTGCGTCTTGTCGTGCCGGTGAAACACGGGACTATTGGCTATGTCTAAAAGCGCCTGGATTCGTGCCTGCTCACGAAGAAAAACAACTATCTAGAAATATTAACACATAAATTTTTAAATAATCAAGTAAACATACACATGCGTTAATTAATGTATGTATTAAAGCTGACAATGGATTTTCTACAAGAAATTGTTGAAATAATGGTTTTGCAGAAATTTTGAAATTAAATAATAATATTAATTTATAATATGAGATGTATGAAGAATGATGATTATGATATGTTTTATTGATATTACATTAGCCAGAGTAATGTAAAAAATTTTTTTATATCTTTTTTGTAATTTTAGTTTCTTCACTTAAAATAAATAAATAAATAAATAAATAAAATAAATAAATAAATAATTTTTAGTTACTATATTCTTTAAACACATAAGAATTAAATAAGGATACATAAATAGATTGTAAAGATATTACAAACGTTAGTTATAGATAATAAAGTAATAAGAATATTAAATTTAGAAAATTATAAAAATAAAAATTTATTCTCGTTATTTCAAAGATTTTCCTGGAAAATATTATAAAAAATGAAAAAAAAAATATAGTGTGCGATGGCCGGGAATCGAACCCGGATCAACTGCTTGGAAGGCAACTATGCTAACCATTACACCACCATCGCACCTTGTCATTCTGTTCAATGTAGTGCTAGACATGCATCCAGAACATAGTAACTAAAAATTGTTTATTTATTTATTTTAAGTGAAGAAATTAAAATTACAAAAAAGATATCAGAAAATCTTTTATATTATTCTGGCCAACTACACATTTATATACTGTATAATATAACTGCATACCATATGGTGAACGTAATATCAATAAAACAATTAATAAAATTAATAAACAGAAATAAATTAACAAAAATATAATAAAAATTATAATAATTAAAATACGTAATTTGCACTCTTACTTATTTTAAGATATATTGCTTTGTGAATTTTATTCAAATAAGAAAATATATTTGACTAATTATTTAACTAACATTAACATTAACATTTTGCTCGATTATTATCTTCAGTAAAAGAAAAATTAATAAATCACAAGCATAAAACTGAAAGAATGCGATGCAATTTTAAGTTTTATGGAAATAATTTTATGGACAGAGTTGTGTTTAAAATGAACCTTATGAATTGCAAATTTCCGTACTGAATTTGTCAGTTCTGCTATTAAAATCGCGGCAAAGATCAAAGATAATCGTGTTTACCTTAGAAGCGTGAGTGCAGTTTGTCATGAGTAATGTGGCACCTGCAACAATTTTCGACATATCTCCCCAACTGATGATCATATTTGCGATCTCGGCGGCGAGCAGGATGCCCAGGATGAAGGTAAAGCTGAAGACGGTATAGAACAGATACAGAAGCCGGTATTTTCTCGCTCGCGGCGGCCATGTACCCAAAAAGTAAACAAGCGATAAGCTCACTCTAAGATGAAAATTCGGCACAATACCTCGTTCATTCATCATTTTCCAAATGAAGGACAGCGTATCATAAATGCCTCAAGTTTGTTTCGTTATTTTACAAAGATAGGGTTATGATCTTCTAATGAGTCTAATTTTTCCTTCTTTTTGTATATATTTTATGAAGCCATTATTGGTTCAATCTTCCTTTATAATTCAGTTTAATTAAATGTGTTTTAATAATTTGTATATCACTTGTATATCATTCCAATATTAATTAATTTTAATTTTATTTATATTTTGTACTTTGCTGTGAAGTAATTTGAGAAGTGCAAGGATACAATTGCCTGTCTTATATGATGCAAAACAATTGACTGTCTTATATGATGCAATGTTGGTAACAATTTACGGAAATAGAGGAAGTACTATGGCCATCTGGACGCGAATCGATCAAATTATAGCGTTCCTGCAACAACGGATGTAAACCTCTAATTTGGGAGAAGTTCCGTTAGATCTTTGTTAGACACAAATTATGGCATCACATAAGTTGGCCTGTAATTAATCGTGTCGCTATGCTTTTATCATAGACGCGTGCTATTTGCATATTGCGTTCATTATTAGAGTTACTATTACGCGCAATTGCAAAAGCAATCATGTAATCAATGTAGAAATAATTGATCGAACCATGCTATTTCCTATTCTCTTTGCAGGCTGTGAAACCATGACGTGAACCAAGCAGCATATCTGTGATGTCACGCAGTGCGTTGTGATGATAAGTACGTTTTCAAACACAGTGCTAGTGATATTACAGTGATCTTTAAATTGCTAAGAAACTGAACTAAATTTTGGTAAGTAAATTTCATAATTGCAGTTATTATGAAAACTAATGATAATTACCTAATAAACACAGTAATATAACGTCAATGTTATAATTTCTCACTCAATGTAACTGCAATATGCCTTGTACGTAACAATTATATTGTTTAGTGGGACATTATAACATTAAAGTTGTTAGTTTGTGTTTACTGAGTAACAAAGCATTTTTTTTGCAGTTCTTAGCAGAATAATTTATTTGTTTAAGATTTATAACTTGTACAATATTGGAAAAATGCAATTTGTTATATCAACATTAATTTTTGCATAATGCAATTATTTTGTTGAATATATCTTTAAATATAACTTTTAATTTCATAAATAAAAAAAAATTAATGAGTTTTTAATATCTTATTATAAAGTAATATTAATTAAACTTGAGAGAATAATTAATTTTTCCTAACTTCTATATTTTTAAAATAAAGACAACAAATTAGTATAATTTATTTTTAGTAGTTTATAGCATTATTTTTAAAGTAAGTTATGTTTATATAAAAGCAACCACCAATAGAGCAGCCTTTACGCATAAATGCACTTGATTTTTCTTGCATTAAAACCAGTTTTATCTGGTTTTATCACTCTAGCCTAGATAACAAACTTAGAACATCTAAAAAGGAAGTATATTGCTTGATAATGTGATAAGTTGAGAAATGGCTATAAACTATCCATATATTTTCTAAATATAAATTTCCAAATGGATTATCTTGATGCGTGCAAGCACGCATCAAGTATAGGTGACATGACGCTATGCCACAAATTGCGTCACCAAAACAAAGCGTCTACTCGAGACTCGCACTCGAGCTCAGTTGCTCAGTATAGACGTAAATGTCGACGTGAGCTGTTGCGTTCTCCCGAACTCCGATATTCCTTCAACAGGTAAACTCGAAGCAAGTTTCTTCAGTTACCTGTCATTTTACTGTTCTACAATTCAAACCTTTGTACCGGTTTGGCCACTGCTGATCTGCTGCATAAATTTACTGCATTGCAACTGCGTGTGATTTCGCAAAAATGGCATCGTTGATATTGAGCAAAGATGTGCCTGATATCGAAGTAAGTACAAAATTCCAACGCAGTATGATGTGAAAAAATAACGTCTAAAATATCCTTTAATAATTTAAATTTCAAGTGTTAGAAAAACATTTGAAGGCCTGAATAATTGAAATCATTTATAGACCAGTGTCGGACTAACTTTGAACAAAACCCCTTCACATTCTTGGAATTTAATTTTTTTAAAAGATTTTTCTTTTAACAAGTTGAATTATTTAATTTTTATTTATTTTGTTGTATGCTCTGTATCATTTATTTATAATTATTTATATATATACTTTATATAATTTTTGATATACTAAAATATGTATTGTTACAATTCCCTATTTGTTCCTAATTTTTATTGTCTTTTTATATTTTTATACATAATTTATTTTTTCCATATTTTTTATTTTTTATATAGTATTTGTGAAGATCTAGGGACTTTTATAACTATAAGTAAGTTATTATTGTTTCATGAAAGTACTTAAAGATAAGATTGTGCTTTATCTTTTAGACATTTTTTTACGTCCATTATCTTATATTAACGAAAATCTTGTTATTAATATTTAATTTTTATAATTGATTATATATATATGTATAACATATTTTATTTTTTAGAATTTATTGAGTATTAATCCAAAGTCCAAAGGTCATGCAAATTTTGTACCATCAGCACGTACCAAGCAAAATAAGCAGCACTGGAAGAGAAACATTTCTGAGAAATGTGACGTAAGTCCTTTAAATTGTATCACTTTCATATCACTTAAATTGAATTGCTCATCTCGACGAAATTAATAGAATGGGTTTCTGATAACTCACTTCAGATAAAATAAATTATATATATATGTATGTGTATAGATTTATTACACAATGTACAAGAATAATTTATTATCTATTCTCTATATTATGTATTCTGTATTGCCAGAAATTTTAAAAATTTCATACTGATTTAAGTGTAATATAACATATTTGCGTTTAATCTGTATTAATCTTTTAGGAGTATTCTTTTTACATATCATATGCAATATATCATATTGATTTTTTTGATAAAAGTAATTTATGGCTATTATTTTATCAGATGTTATATATTTTAACAAGATACTTCACTCGTAAAATAATCGACCGATAAGATTGCACTTTCTTTTCATGCACTCTTCTAGATTATGTACTCAACTTTATCAGATATTTACTTATTAATTATTGAATTGCGATTACTTATATGTATATAAAGTATAGAATGTAAGAAGTAAACAGCGTTAAAAATAAGTGCATTTAAACCAAATCAAATTAGATCTCTTATTTTTAATTCAATCATTGATTGCTGATATTAAATGATTAACTGATAACAAATATTAATTAATATTGATTTTCATATCCTATCTAAATGTGTCATGTACATAACAGAAATATCTAAAAGTATAGTGAAAAAACACGTGACAAAGTTAAATAAGAATATTTAAAAAAAATAATTTTTTTTTTAAATGTACAATAATTTTTCTCATCTCTTTTATAGAGTTGCGTGTCTCTGACGAAGAACTTTGATGACATCAAGCACACTACGTTGAGCGAGCGCGGAGCTTTGAGGGAAGCTGCTCGTTGCTTAAAATGCGTTGATGCACCTTGCCAAAAATCTTGCCCTACACAATTGGATATCAAATCTTTTATCACGTCGATCTCTAACAAGAATTACTATGGCGCGGCGAAGGCGATCCTTTCCGACAATCCTCTCGGCCTTACCTGCGGCATGGTATGCCCGACCAGCGACCTTTGCGTGGGCGGATGCAACCTTTACGCGTCTGAGGAAGGACCTATCAACATCGGCGGGCTACAACATTTCGCGGTGGATGTAAGTAATTTTATTTTGCAATGCTTAATTCAATTTCTTGTCATGTAAAAGAGTGATAAAAAGTGTAGTTAATCATAATAACGCTTATAAAATGTAATATATTTTTTGTTCTATGTAGAATTATTCTAAATTAGAAATCAGTATTACGTGCATTGTCAATATTTGTTTTAATATCTTTTTCAATTTTTAATAGTGATGGAATATCTATTGTGTTATTTAATGTCTCTATATTTAATTATAATTCAACTTTCAATTATTTAAATGACAAACGTGGTGTTTGGCTTATACATTTCTTGTTTTCTCAGGTTTTTAAACAGATGAATATTCCTCAAACTAGAATACCTAATCAAATGGTACCTCATGCGGATACGAAGATCGCTCTTCTCGGTTGCGGACCAGCTTCTCTCTCGTGTGCGACATTTCTCGCTCGACTTGGTTACAATGATATTACGATCTTTGAAAGAGAAAAATATATAGGCGGGTTAAGTTCTTCTGAAATACCACAATACAGACTTCCATATGACGTTGTCAGCTTCGAGGTGGATCTCGTTAGAGATTTAGGAGTAAAAATTGAGTTGGGAAGATCGCTGTCTGAAGATGATTTGACAATACAGGTAAATTTAATTTTTTTAAATAAAAATTTGTTGATTATTCATAGTATTTGTTTCTAATTCTTATCAGTCTATTTTAATTTTGAGAACAGTGGTTTAAATTTTTAAAATTAATTTGTTGATATTTTTTAGATTTTAACTTTGAAAATTATAATTATAAAATTTTTTCATAAATTTTAATAATAAATCATTGTATGAATAAGTTCCAAAATGTTTTAGGGCCTTCAAGATGTTGGGTATAAAGCAATCTTTTTAGGAATTGGCTTACCAGAGCCAAAGAGTGTACCGATTTTCGAAAATCTTACTTCGGAGATGGGTTTCTTCACCTCGAAGAGCTTTCTGCCCGCTGTCGCGAAAGGCAGCAAGCCGGGAATGTGCGCTTGCAAGAGCAATCAGGAACTTCCATCTCTTCGTGGTAATGTGATTGTTCTCGGTGCGGGAGACACAGCTTTTGATTGCGCTACTTCCGCCCTCCGTTGTGGAGCGAAAAAAGTGTTTGTTGTTTTTCGAAAAGGTTTTACTAACGTACGTGCTGTTCCAGAAGAGGTAATTGTTCATAATATTTATGAAATAACTTATTCTTATTATTTAAATTTTTATTTAAAAACTTAAGAAAAAGATTGATTTGATAATTTAGGACTTAAAGATTTAGAATCCAAGCGTTCAAATTTGAAATATTCAAAAATTGTTTATAGATGGATTTAGCGAAAGAAGAGAAATGTGAATTTTTACCATTCCAATCGCCAAGACGAGTCGTTCTTCGTAACAAGAAGATTGCCGCAATCGAATTTTGCAGGACTGAACAGAACGAAGAAGGCGAGTGGGTAGAGGACGAAGAACAAAAGGTTGTTTTGAAAGCGGATTTCGTGATTTCAGCTTTCGGTTCGGGATTGTACAACCCAGTTGGTGAGCAATTATATAGTGTTTTACATGTGTTTATACACATTAAAACTATATAAAGAAAAAAAATAATAGAAATATATTAGAAATATTACAAATAAGATCATTTATTACTTAATTATTTTATATGATATAAGGAATCCTTATATCAGACAATTAAAATAATTTTAAGTATTTATTAAAATAATTTGTTATCAAATATTATTTTGCTACGATATGAATTTATTATATATTACTCTAATAAATAACTAACTACCTATGACATTAACATGATATTGATCTATCTATTGTTGTGCCCGTACTATTTTGCCGCTGATGCTGTGTGTGTTACAGCTGACGGACCGATCGATAATATCGATCGGTCATTAGAAAGTTGAAGCCAAATGGCATTTATTAATAATCTTTCTTATATTCTTTGTCAAGTCAACGAATATTGAATAGCGGTTTAAACGGTCTCTATGACAGTTATAAACAAACTGTTATATGTCAGATCTTTGGTAGCTGTCTGCTCGGGCGGACGTTTATGACAGCTCCGATCTTAGTATTGTATTCTTGGTTACTAATTATTGAGTTCTGTGTTTATTATTAAAGTGTCCTTTTTCATAAAAAGTGTTGATTTATTTGTGCGAACTGCGCGACTCGTTTCGGAAACGTAATACTATGATATGATATAAAGAAGAATTTATGATGAATAGTGAAGCGTGCTATGGAGCCAATTAAGATGAACAAGTGGAACTTGCCGGAAGTAGACGAGACTACGATGACGACCTCAGTGCCAGGTGTCTTCTGTGGAGGAGACCTTGCTGGGGTCGCTCAAACGACCGTGGAATCTGTGAATGATGGGAAAACAGCTGCATGGTATATTCACAAATATATACAGGTGTGTCATCAACTAGCATATTTTAATTAATTCTGTGACATTGCAGTTTGCAAACTGCAGAATGTCACAGAAACATGGAATTTTATTAGAAATAGACATAAATTTATATTTCTTAGCTGAAGTTATTCAATGTTGCCAATTAATAATATATGGTGTAATTTGATAATTAATATAATAAGAAAAAACTTGCATTTGTGTTTATTTTAATAAATCTATACAATGTAAAACAAAATACAAAGCAAAATTTAATGTACACAAATTTGCATTTCTTATTTTTTAAATTAATAAAGTAATTTATATTATGGTCTTGGTTGCTCTTTTTTTATCTCATTTTTTGTGTTTTCTCTAGGAATCTTATGATTTGACGGTGCCGGAAATTTCGCAGTTACCGAAATTTAACACCGCCATCGACGACGTTGACCTAAGTGTCGAGATGTGTGGCCTGAAATTTGAGAATCCCTTCGGTTTGGCTTCCGCTCCACCTTGCACCACCAGCGCGATGATTCGACGAGCTTTCGAAGCCGGTTGGTCCTTTGCTATCACGAAAACTTTCTCTTTGGACAAGGTATTTTACGAAGAAATTATCGTCAAGTTTCAAACTTATATTTTATTTTCACAAATTTTTTTATTTATCTTAAATATGTTATCACAGGATCTCGTTACTAATGTATCGCCGCGCATTATTAAAGGCACAACGTCTCGTCATCATTACGGACCCGAACAGAGCAGTTTTCTCAATATTGAGCTAATATCTGAAAAAACCGCCGATTACTGGTGCGGCAGTATTACAGAACTGAAGCGAGACTTCCCTACGAAGGTATGTACTTGAATAGTGGTTTTAATATATGTAAAATTGTGAAAGAGAGTATAATGATGAAATTAGAATAATTTTCAATTAATTGCTAGAGATCAACGTTTCATTTTTTGTATCATTTATTTTTGCACAGATCGTCATTGCGAGCATCATGTGCACTTATAACAGAATTGATTGGACGGAATTGGCGAGGAAAGCGGAAGCATCAGGTGCTGATGGCTTGGAATTAAATTTATCCTGTCCTCATGGCATGGGAGAGTCTGGAATGGGTCTAGCTTGTGGACAGGTTTATTTTCTTTTTAATTTCCTTTTTTTTTTATTAAAATTTAAAATCTAAATTAATGACAAATTAATTTTTAGGATCCTGAACTGGTTCGAAATATCTCCAGATGGGTTCGTGAAGCCGTCAAGATACCGTTCTTCGTAAAATTGACACCCAATATCACTGATATCCTTTCAATCGCCAAGGCGGCTTACGAAGGTAAAGTTATTTCAAAAAATTAATACAAATTTTTAAATTTATGTATTTGCGGAAAATATAAAAATAAAAAATACTGTAGAAAATATAATTTACATTAAAATTATCTCTAAATAATTAACAATATTAAGATATTTATTGATGTAGGCAAAGCTAATGGCGTTACCGCAATTAACACGGTATCGGGATTAATGGGATTGTACGCCGATGCAACTCCATGGCCGGCGGTTGGTCTAAATAAATCCACGACGTACGGTGGAGTGTCAGGAAACGCTACCCGACCTCAAGCTCTAAGGGCTATCTCGACGATCTCGAAGCATCTTCCGGGCTTCCCAATACTTGGTGCCGGCGGCGTCGATTCAGCCGACGTTGCTCTGCAATTCTTGCATTGCGGTGCATCAGTTGTTCAGGTAAATTACTCTGTTTATGTATTAAGATTGGGATTAAATTGACATTTTACTGCACAATTTATAATATAATTTTATAAGAAGTTAAATTGTAGAAAAATGGAATATCAATATAATATTTAATATGCAGGTTTGCAGTGCCATCCAAAATCAAGATTTTACCCTGATAGATGATTATGTAACTGGTTTGAAAGCATTATTATACTTGAAGAGTCTTGCGCAGATAAAAGATTGGGACGGTCAGAGTCCACCGACATTCAAACATCAAAAAGGCAAGCCTGTTTCCTTGCAACATGCTCTCGGCAAAGTAAGCATTGTAATCACATATTTTTACTTATTGTAAGCATTACTAATTATTTATCAATCTTTTAACAACAAAACTGAAAAGAAACTAATTAAACGTTTATTGCAGTTATAGATATCAATATTGAACACAATAGTTTTCGCGAAAAAATGTAACATTTTGAATATATTAATATAAAATTAAGAATTTTCTACAAAATAATAAAATTAATAATTTATATTAAAATATTATCCAGCATAATTATTACATTGCTATTTTAGAATTTTGAGAAAGTTTTTTTCATTAAAAAATGTTTAATAAATTTGATAATTGTAATATTTTTTTCAATATATATGCGTGTGTGTGAGTGTGTATGTATGTATGCTTCTATTTTATATGTAAAATTGTTCTGTAGAATATACCATATTTCGGGGAATATCAAAAGTTGCGTGAACAGAAAATAGCCGAGCTGAAAGCAAACTCAAATCCCTTGGATCAAGTTATCAAAGTAACACGACCGGCTCAAGAACCAATCGCTCCGATACCTAGCGTTAAGGACGTAATTGGTAAAGCGACAGCCCATATCAGCAGCTACAAAGAATTAGACAACAAGAAGCAAGTTGTCGCCTTGATTGACGATGTATGTTATAAATAGTTTGACTAATTAATATCTTAATTATCTAAATAATATTTAAACGATATTTAATTATATGATATTCAAGTATCTTTACATTTATTTGCCACTCTTTTCAGGATATGTGCATAAATTGCGGTAAGTGTTATATGGCTTGCGCGGATTCTGGATATCAAGCGATTACCTTCGACGCTGACACT